CCTGTCTTATCACCTCCTCCCAATTCTTCTTAGGTCTACCCCTTCCCCTACTTCCCCCAATAACTGTAATCCTCTCGCATCTCCGTACAGGGGCGTCAGCATCCCGCCGTCACACATGGCCAAGCCACCTCAACCTCGCTTCCCGCAACTTGTCTTCCACCGGTGCCATACCTACTTGACGTCGGATAACCTCATTCGAAATCCTATCCAACCTTGTCTTCCCGCACATCCATCGTAACATCCGCATCTCCGCCGCATGCAGACGACGCACATGAGTCTTCTTAACCGCCCAACACTCTGCCCCATATAACATAGCAGGTCTGACTACGGATCGATAGAACTTACCTTTCATTCTAGGCGAAATAAATACCAATCCCTATAATTTAGGCCCACTACCACACTACTTAGTAACTATTCCTAAACTTTAGGTTCACTACCACATTACTTAGCAACTATTCCTAGAATTTAGACCCACTTACACATTATTTACTAAGTAACTGGCATATATAAATAAAACATTTGGCCCAATAAACAATAATCCTAAGGGACTCTACCATAAATATTAATAACATAAAATAACTTCATATGACACTCTATCATTATCCCCTCCTTCAAAATTTGCCTTGTCCTCAAGGCAAAATTTACCATCACATCCTACTTTTACCCATCACATCAAGGGTATTTTTGGAAAGTCAATACCAAAATATCTCTCCCTTAATTTCCCAAAAAGTCAAACCGTCCCATTCTTTTTGGGACGGAGGGAGTACTTTTCTGGATAGTTTTACAAATAATGAACCTCATTATTTATAGAAGCCAAATAACTACCAATCCCTATAATTTAGGCCCACTACCTCACTACTTAGTAACTATTACTAAACTTTAGGTTCACTACCACATTACTTAGCAACTACTCCTAGAATTTAGGCCGACTTACACACTATTTACTAAGTAACTGACATATATAAAATAAAACATTTGACCCGATAAACAATAATCCTAAGGGACTCTACCATAAATATTAATAACATAAAATAACTGCATATGGCACTCTATCAGTTGGAGAGTATAGTAAATTCAAAGACGTTTGTTATTGTCAATATTGTTCCCTTTTCAATATAGAGTTTGGCAGTTCTTACTATGGACATGATGCATTTGTTGGGACAAGATTTAAGTGTTGAAATAAGAAAGATAAGTTAAGAATTTATTTGGGAGACCATAAAAGTATCCACAACAAATGTTTCAATTTGGTAAGATTTGATGAATCGATAAAACATATTGTCATTACTCTTCTAATACCTCCGAGCAAGCCAAAAACGAATATTATATTCAGTTAAACAAGTATTTGAGTTGTATTGGATTGCTTTTAGGAAATGGTCTTCCTTTCCGTGGTCATGAAGAATCAAAAGGTTCAAGTAGAATAGACTACAGATGTGTTTCTTTAGACTGAATTTTTATGCCAAGTCAGATGAAGAAATATGGAATGTGCTTTTGAACAATGCTCCTGAGAAGAATAAAATGACATCTCTAACAACATTAAAGATCATGTTATTGCTTGTGTTGATTTAACATTGCAAGCTATTGTTATAGAATTTGGAGATGACTATCATTCTTTGTGTGTTGGTGAAGCTCGTGATGCATCAATTAAGGAGCAAATGGCGGTACGTTACATGAACAAGCAATGACTAATTTTTTATCATTACGTTGATACTATTCATGTTTCAAATACTACATCGCAGACATTAAAATTAGCAACGATTGAGCTTCTAGCTAAAATATGACTTAATTTATCTAAATGTTGTGGTCAAGGTTATGATGGTGCTAGTAACATGAGAGGTGAGTTTAATGGTCTGAAACATTTGATTTTAGCTGAAAATAAATCAACATACTATATATATTGTTTTGCTCATCAATTACAATTAGAACTTCTAAAGGCCGCTAAAAATGATTGAAATTTTCAATAGTTTTATGCATCGTTGTGAAAAGCATGACTGGGGCCTGAGACGCGATGCGCACAAAGCGCAGACCTTAGTGCATCACTACCATTAATGTGTGTGACATTCTTGAGGCGCGCACAATATCGTGCATCGGCGCCTTATGCGACGCGAAGCGAGGCACAATAATGTGCGCATTAAGTACGAACAACTTTTTTAATTACTTTTTAATAGGGTATTTTAAAAGTAGTACTCCCGTAAGGTGCCTTGAACCACATCACAAGACTCGTCAAATTCCAAGGGATGAAATGTGGCAAATGAATTTTGTGGTTAAAGGCAACTCAAACACACACTTAAGACTTAACTTTGTGTTGACATTGTCAAAGCGGTCATTCATTTCAAAGAATTGTTGAATATTGATACACTGCATTATCAAACAACTTCAATTTGAAGTTCTCCCAAACTTGAATATTGATGCTTCTCACTTAGACCTTCCTTTGGGACAATAACAATTACCCATGTTTGGAATATCAATATCATGCTTCTTGCAAAACTCTATTGTCACATCAAGCACTTTTTCAAAATCACCAATTTTCAACTTTTGCAACCTAACTTTTGTGACTCTTACTAAAGTAATTGCAATGGCAAGATCTTGATCATTGCTTTGCAAGAGCTGTGATACTCTTAACTTCACCATCTCTATCAAATGCAAAATGAATGCAAATTCTAAGCCATCAATAACATACAACATGGTGTTTGTCTATGTTCTTACTGCATCATTCTTAGGATCATTTTGAATTATATTCATCAAAATAAACTATATGGAAGAACAACAAAATTACACTCACAATTGTACCGTAATGGGAGCCCCAATGTGTATTCTTGATCTTCTCAAAATTGTTTATTGATATGAACATCTTCCAAGTACATCAACACAAGTAATTCTTTCAAGTATTATTTCATATTTCTTTTCACGAAAAAAACTTTTTTCTTACATGAATAATTCACAACATTGATCATCTTTTAAAAAATATCAAAGAACTCTTGAATCTTTCAATTGCCTTTAGCAACTTGTATAAATGTCAATTGTAATTGATGAGCAAAACAATGGATATGGTATGTAGATTTATCTTTCAGCTAAAATAAAACATTTCAGGCCATTAACTCATCTCTCAGGTTGCTATCACTATTAAAACCTTTAGCGTGACATTTAGATAAATTAAGTCTAGCAAGAAGACCATTAATTGCTAATTTTAATTATTGTGATGCAGCATCTAAAACATGAAAACTGCCAACAAAACCGTGAAGAATTAGCCCTTTCTTATTCACGTAACATAAAATCACAACCATTTTCCCTTTAATTGATAAATCACGAGCTTCATCAACAAATAAAGGATAATAATCATCTCTAATTTCTTTAATAATAGCTTACTACTTCAGACCAGCACAAACAAAACCAAAATCTTTTATCTCGTTGAAGTTGTCATTTTGCTATTCTCGAGAGCATTATTCAAAATTACACACTACATTTCTTCATTTGGTTTGGCATAAAAATTCAAAGTCACAAGAAACAACCATTTTCTACTTGAGCTTTCTTATTCATCATGACCACGAAAAAGAAGACCATTTCTTAACATAAATCTAACATAACTCGAAGACATTTTAACCAAATACAGTATTTGTTTTTTGGCTTACTCAAAAAATTCAAGAGTAATACCAATATGTTTTTATCTATTCATCAAATCTTGCCCAACTTTGAAACATTTGTTGTGGATATCTTTATGGTCCCCCAAGTGAGTTCCTAATCTGTCTTTTCTTATTACAACACTTAAATTCTATCCCAACAAATGCATAGTGTCTAGAGCTTGAACCAAAAAATTTCTATATCCAACTCTATTCCTTTTGTGCATGAAGCATATATCGCGATTGTTGAACATAAGGACCTCAAATAGCACTTTTAACTTCCAACTCAGTGTGTAGACGGCTTTGAATCACTCACTCCACCGTTTTCAATAATGTTATGTTGTTTTTGAGGGCTAGTAGATGCTCTCTGCGATTTCTCCAACGTGTGTGGCCTCCATGTTAGTCCTGAAAAATCTTACATTTTCCTGGCTTCCCAAAGAGCAAAGGGGATGGACTTTGCACCTTTAATACAAAAGATTAATGATTTTGTTGGATCCAAGAACAGTAAAACCTTGTCTTTAGCAGGGAGACTTAAGCTTGTGAGAATTGTGATACAAGAAGTACAATCCTTTCAGTTGCAAGCTTTTGCCATGTATAAGTTGGTTTTGTGGAGAACCACTACCATGGGACTTCCTAATGGGTAGTAGAATTGCAAAGGTTGTTTGGGTAGATAATTGTAAACCAAAGCAAGAAGGGGGGCTAGTCTTAGGGATTGTGAAATGTGGAATAAAGCTTTGCTTGCCAAAATCCTTTGGAATATCCATGCAAAGAACACGCTTTGGGTGAAACGGATGCATGCTATCTATCTCCGGGGGCTATTCGTGTGGGAATGGAGGCCATGCACACAAAAAAGACACACAGTTGTTTAAGAAGCTAGCTGAGGTGAAGGACATTTTCCTAAAAAAGATTAGGGGTGTTTTCGATATTGAGGTGGCAAGGCATAAACTTTGTGGCAATGGTAACCTCAACTCCTAGAAGGTTTATGACTTATTTTGGTCAAATAATGGATTAAAACCCTTTTTCCTCGGATCCGTTGCAATATTTGTTGTGTCTATTTCATTTTGATTTTCTTGAATTGGAGACAGGGTTTGAAGTTCAACAAGATTTTCTTGTGAAAGTGTAGGTTTCAACCTTTTGTTATAAGATTCTAAAACTAATACAGTACTTCACACAAACTATTTTCGCATTAATACTATCGGTGTAATACTATAATATAAAATATAGCAATTCACAGTTTCACACTATAATAAATCTACATAAATTGCAAGTATAGTGTCTACATGTTACCTTTCATTGTCTAATTGTGCAATGCAAAAAATCCACCTTCGAAAGTTGAAATATCAATATGTGTATTCTACAAAATAGTCAAACTCAATTAACTACAAAATCAATTGAAGTCAAATTCGATTATTGTATTGAGCAAAAGATACAAACTCACAAGAGGGAAAGAGGCAGGGGTTTCCCCTTTTGGATTTGTGACCCCGGATGGCAAACCGGCAGGGTTTGCAGAGGGCTGACTGGCAGAGAGCACTCGTTTCGGCCTTTTGGCAGAGGACCGACTTGCCCGTCAGAGTCCACCGAAGGAAGGCGCAGAGCATTAGTTGGCAGTGAGAGTTAAGGAAGAAAGAACTTATAATGCGCATGGTTTATAAATGAAAAGGAACGAATAATATATTAGGCTGGATAACAGTTCTAACCCGAATCAAGAAATTCATCAGTATTGTTTTGAGCTTCAGCTGGGAATAGATGGAATAGAAGAGGTTAAATTTTAACCTGGAGCTAGAGACATCATAGATTTGTCCTCTGATAGCCATGAGCAAGGGCTTTTTCGGGTCTGACCCGTTGAAAGCTAAGAGCTCAGCTGCGGTCAGGTCGCCGATCTGGATAGGTTTCCGGCGGGCGGCCTCCTCCGCCTTCTTGACGTACATGTAGTCATCGGTGCCGCCGAGCATGTGGTAAACTACCTTGTATGTCACCGCCATCAGCGCCGCGATTGTAAAGAAAGCCGTCGGAGACAGCCCTGTGTAATAGAAAACCGCTTCTGTGAGAGGCGTCCATAGATTGGAGCAGACCATTTTAGCCTTACTTTTTCCTAATTGGACGGCGATAGAGTTGGGGGAAAAGGCAAGTTGAAGCCACCTACTACTACTACAATCTAACCATTTTTGACCCATTTGTGTGCTCGGAGAGTGATGTTTCCCTGGCACTCTTCTAATTTTTTTATTTCTTAAATTAAAATTAGTTGCAGGTCGATGTTGTGCAATTGACGAAGGTAAGTAAGATAAAAAAAGTAAGACTCGAGTTAATTGTTTGAAACCTCGAGTTAATTTATATTCTTTCGATAATTGCCCAGACGGGTCTAAGGAAACCCTCTCTGATACCATTTGTAACACTGCTAACCTATGCGCCAGAAGTATATATAAAAAAGGTGGAACATCTGCTTCGGGTGCCCCCACACCCCGGCGTGACAAGATAGTGTGGGCGTAAATTGTGGTATAATTTTAATCTGGTCCTTAGAATGGTCGCTCTGTACCCAGTGCCCAAAAGGAGCTATCACAAAGAATAGAACTCTTGCATTGTTGTTGCTGGGATTCGACCTTAGAATCTATGGTTTTGGCATTCTCTCATTGGACTAGTTGAGCTATCCATTTGAGCTCACCACAAGCATATATAACCTTGTAGACTATGTCCACAAACCGACACAAGTCTTTCGCTCCACGCTTTGGCCTTACTTGTGCGAACCCTAAAAATTTCCCAAGGCGTCACCATCTTAAAATTGTTTCAGGTCCAGAACGTTTAACTTTAAAGTTTCTAAGTTGTGAGCTCTCAATAAGAAATGAACCGGTTTGGACTGGAATAAAGTCACGCTTTGACTAGGACCGAAGACTGGGCATGTTCACATTTCGCCCGGACTGTTCCAAAATTATTTTTTCGGGGTCGATTCTGGATTTACTCTATTTCAGGCCTGATTAACTGTTTTAAACTTTTTCACAAACTAGTATTATATTAAAATTGGCATAAAATTACAACCAAGTCAGATGAGTTGCAAAAAAACTTAAAACTTCCAAGATCACAAATATGGGTGGTTTTGCTTTGAGTTCTATTTGATTTTTGATGAATCCTAGGCAAGACAAAATATCATAAAAGGAAAGTTTTTCATGACTCAAGTTCAAAACTAGAAACATAGTCGATGAAACGCTTGATGTCGCTATCTTGATAGTTGATATAGAGAATAAACAAAGCAAAATGTGGCTACCCATTTTTTCAAAGCAATACACCAATACGGAGTGAATCAGTGAAAGTTTTAGACAAAAAACAAAAAAGAAACATCAGCAAATCATTATCATGGTAACATTCATTAATTTACTAGGTTTTTTCTCCTAAACGATACATTATACACCAATATGGAATTGTTCGAGTGAATTGATGAATTGCAAACGTGTCAATTTTCAAACATTGAAGAGTTGAAGAATGAAGAGTTGACGAACTGCGAAATCACATGTATTTGTTTTGTTAAAAAATAATGTCAACAGGAGCTTCTAACTCAATACACAAAGCAAAAACAAGAACAACTCACATAACTAACAGATGGATCAAGTTTTAACAAAATCACAGATTTTGATATGGACCTGATTGCTCAGGGTTAAACCTGAACAAGAATGGAAACCCGAAATCCCCATTTTCTTAAACTTAGAGTTCAGAACAAAAAATGCTAGATTGGTCCAGAACAGTTCAAAATGGTCTCGTTCTTATCCAAAATACAGCTTAACCGTTTTTGCACATTCCTAACGCGAGTGTAGTTTAGTCCAAATCTTTACCTGTGTGTGGATGTGAAATAATATTTATTTGAATACTAATAACTCTATTATAATGTAGTACGCGTTAATATATTTTCAACATATTAAAGCCCGTAGATTTACTACCCGCACTAGAGATCGAACACATGACCTCTAAATTGAGAGATTCCATTCCATTCTATTGAACCTGTGGGTTTCCCAATGTCATTGAACTACAAGATTCTTGACAGATGTGAAATATTATGGTATGAAAGTGTTGTAAAAATGTGACCCTTTTTTTGTTAAAGAATAAAAGTAAGAGTTGGAAGTAAAAATTTGTTTTAGTAAAACTTTAAAAAATGTTAAGAGTACATCAAAAAAATGTAGTAATACTCCTTTCGTCCTAAAATTTTCTTCCCGTTGCGCAAAACGAAGAAAAATCCCAAGTTTTTTCAATCTATTTTATTTAAATATTGGTATAGAAATAAAAAATAAAACATACATATTTAAAAACTACATTAAAAGTTCAACAAAACAAGTGGTGACAAGAATATTTTATTTTATCATATAGGCCATGAAAAAACACAAATAAATATAAATTCTTGTGAAATTGGAATAGTGCTCTGGAAAGAAAGTTTTAGGAGGGAGGGAGTATTAGTTTGGGCAAGTAATGACCCTTCCCCCCTTAATTAATCATCCCTCGTCAGTCCTCGTCTTTCGTTTTCCTCAGACGTTACATGTTTCCCCTTTTTTTCGTTCCTTTTCTAGCATCATCCTCACCCACACTGATCCTTCAAAACCCAGACCGGTACTCAGTCTCTCTCTCGCACCAAAATAGTAAAAAAAAAAAAACAAAAAGCCATTGCATCGCCGGAAAATAGAGGCTCTTGAAGCTCACAACCGAGTCTCCCGTCGAACTCTCCCACTTTTAACCGGGAAATGAGCTTCAGAACGACAGAGGGTAGTGCTTGGAATGTTTTCCTGGTTTCTCCGCCGTCCGGCACCCGGTTTCCTCCTCCCGGTCCGTCACTGGGTTCAGAGGAACAAGACGCCGGCGAGGAGGGAGAGGGAAATTACTCCCGGCCGACCAAGTTTTGCGCCAGAGACCATTGGAGGAGTCATGAAGATGCCCGGCTGAGGGAGCTCGTTTCCGAGCAGGGCCCTCAAAGCTGGAATCGGATTGCTGAAAAGATTCCGGGCAGATCAGGTAATGTAATTAATTAATTTAATTAATCGATTGGGCATATGATTAATTGAAGAGATTAATTTAATGTTGGGAAATTGATCGAACGAAGCAGGGAAAAGCTGCAGATTGAGGTGGTTTAACCAGCTGGACCCGAGGATAAACCGGAAGGCGTTCACGGAGGAGGAAGAAGCGAGGCTGGTGGCGGCGCACCGCACCTACGGCAACAAATGGTCGATCATCGCCCGGCTCTTCCCCGGCCGGACGGATAACGCTGTCAAGAACCACTGGCACGTCATCCTCGCCCGCCGCCGCCGCCGCGGACACCAGATCGCCGGTGCTTGCCGGCCCACGCAGCCAAGAAACTACATTGCAATGAGCTCAAACATCGTCGGCGACAGCCTCAACGACGACCATTCGGCGGCGTCCACTCTCACCTGTCTCTCCCCCTCTACCATGACTACTTCCTCCTCCTCCTCCAACCCAAATCCGGGTATACCCAAATTCGATCATCCTTCTATTACCTTAAATCTATCTATTAGCGTTTTCGCGGCGGACGAAAAAATCCTGAAAAACTAATCAATCCCGACACTGTTCGTGTTACAGGGTCATCTCCGAACGGCGGGAAGGGGAGTCGGCCGGCGGGGACCGACTCGGCGCTAAACGACGTCGATCAAGAGCAAAATGCCAAAAAGGTGAAGACCGAAATGCCATTCTATGACTTTCTAGGAGTCGGAGGCGGCGACTGATGATACAGAGAAGAAAAAGCCGTTTTGGGTTTTCTTGAACTTTTATGTGGGTTGGTATTGAGTGAGAGAGTGGGGGGCGGGCGGTTGACAACAAATAAGGTGGATCGATCACTGTGGGGAAAACGTAAAGGTCGGTGTTTTTGGTTGGTGGGGGAAGGGGGTGATCGATAATTAGGGGTAAAAAATGGGTTGGATTATCTTCATTTGGAATAACAACCATTACCATCTTCATCTTCTTCATCATCATCACAGCTTTAATTCAACTTTCAACACTGTATATGGTACACTTCTATTTAATTATCAGTCTTATGCCTTATACTCTCTCCGTCCCTCATAGATCTTCTTAATTGCATTTTTTCTTTGTCCACAATAGATCTTCTCATTTCATTTTTTAACAATTAAAATATCACAACTACCTCCACTTACTTTATTTATTACACCTCACCCACCTCATTTAATACACTCCACCCATTTTTCATTAAGGGTATTATGGTAAACTTTCACCTTTTTTCAACTCTCCTTAAAAACCACCAAAAGTCAAAATGAGAACATCTTAGGGAGACAGAGGGAGTATCTTTTTGCTTTATGTTGGGAGTGTTTTAGATTTTTTTTGCACAAAAGTTGTGCTTAATTTGTTTAAACCATAAACATATTATTGTTTAAGACTATCGGTAATGCTCCATTTTGTAATAGGTGTGATCCTTATTGGCTAATTCTGGAGTGAAAGCATTTGAAAAAGGGTCATGCTACACTTACACAAAAAATTATACATCATTTGTACAACGCAGTTATACACAAACATTTTGATGATTTACACCGACACAAGTATTTGTGCGTTAACAAAAATTTACACGAACACAAAATATTAGTGCATTAACAAAAATTAGTTTTACACCAACACAAAATGTCAGTGCAAACCTGCAGTATACAAAATGGGGTACAAAAGTTTGGAGTCCAAATAGCTTTATCCTTTAAAAGAGGGATCATCCATGTTTATGCGTTAGTCGTCTCCCTTGAATGGTCGAGTGACCATAGTCACGACAACTTTTCTATGTTTTTTTGTTCATTCTCTATCTTTCTTTTATGAAAAATGCTAGGGTACACCAAAGATGTACTCCATTTGTCATCTACCTCCTCCATTACCACAAAAATGGGCAAGAAATTAAAAAAAAATAAATAAATAAAAATGGGGTTAAAATGAGTTGTAGAGAAAGAGGTGGGGGACAAATGGGGTACATCAAAGGTGTACCCCTAGCATGGCTCTTCTTTTATTGTTCAATTCCCATTCTTTTATTGTTTATTTATTGTCCAACTCTCATGCTTTTTTCCTTTATTCTTTTTTTCATTTTGTGAAAACTCCAATCGTAACATCAATTCTTTCAAATTTAAACTCTAAAACTTCAACCTCTACTCTTTCTTTTTTGCATTATGATAATGTGACATTATATATGAACATTTCACAATACTTTTCAGTAATTTATATGATCATTGTAAATACATTTTAATTCTTATTTCAAAAATAAAAATATGAAATTTCTATTTTGGTTTATTTTAACGTTCACTCTTACTTTAGTCTTTTCTCAATAAAAATGGTAATATTAAATGTCCTTGAAATTAATGTAGTTTACATTTTTATTATATTGTTATGATATAAAAACATAATAGAAAATAAAAAGCAAAACAAAAATAAGAAACCGAATAAGGTGTTAAACAAAAAAAGAAAATAGGCATAAAAACAAGAAAAATGAATAAAAAATTGAAATATAAAAGAAAGTAAAAAAGTAATTTTATTTCTATTATAAAAAAATTTAATTTGATTAGACTTTAGACACATGTAGATATTAAATCAAAATAATAATTATGTAATTATTGCAGTATGCATGGGGTACTAAGTATGTTAAGTGAGTTAGTTAAAAGGTGAGTGCAATCAGCGCTCATGTGATGCTGAGTGGCTGATGATTTGGGGTGAGTGATAATGAAATACTACAAATAGCCTAAACAATAACTAGAAATATGGAGTATAATGTTTGTATATTAAACATCAGAATTGTAAATACGAGTCAAAATATACATTAAGAGTGTGTTTGGTGAGCAAACAAGATATGAGTTTTGATATTTGCAAACATTAATTTTTTTGGGTGTTTGGTGAAGACAGAAGAGATATCAAATTCGATATCTACAAATATCATAAATTTTTCAAATGGAGGGTTTCGATATCTCCCAAATTTAAGAGATATCAGTATGGGGGTTTGATATCTCTCTCTCAACCATTGTCATTCTTTGTCCTTACCAACCACTCCCGTTGCCGGTCACTTTCGCTTTCACTAATTAAATCATAATTTTAAATCTTTTCATATAAATTTGTTTCAGATTTAAAAACTCATATCATTTCTCCTAAATTTCATAACTCATATCTTATCATATCTCCAAAAATTTACCAAACGGGCAACATTTGGGTGTTTCTTTGCTTTTCTTGCATGCTTTCCATTTCTCCGCTCTCCCGTTTCTGTTTTCTACTTAATAGTTTTTCAAATTTTAAGTTCGTTTTTAAAATATTTTTTTGAATATTAATAACTCTATTATAATGTAGTATTTGTTCATACATTCTTAATCATTAAACATGTAGAGTTATTACTCCCACTGTTGGAGATTGAACTTGTGAGTAGTGACCTCCCATATAAGAGTCACTATCTACTGAACCATAAAGTCTTTGGTAAAAAATATTAATAATATACCAATTGTTAAGTATATTAAATCCATGTAGCTATTAGCTCCCTACAAAATGTAGCTCTAATCTCATTGTTAAGCATTATTCTAATGCTTTAAAAAAATATAGTTTTAAATAATTGTATTTTTCATAGAGAGGTTAACTTCAGTTAGATATTTTGATACTTAAATATCTGTGTAACGCCCTAAAACATATCCTAGAATTATTAATAAATAATTATTAGATTAATCAAATTTATTTTGGTTAAAATAAATTGTTATTGGGCTTTGAGCCGAAATAATATATATTGATATCCAATAAACATAATTGGGATAAATCTCATAAAGATAAATCCAACTTGATTGACTTATTGTGTGATCTTGATTAGGAACCAGAGTATTGACCCAAATCAATGACAAATGAAGAAATTATTCTGATATGAACTTTGAATTGAATTCTTGAAATAAACCATGAGAATAAATTAAATGAAAGGACCTTTTATGATAAAGGACAATTAAATCAATTTTGACCTCTGTCAAAGTCAAACACCCAAAAATATGATATCGGAAAAAGTATTACAAATAAAAATATAAATTATATCGTTGAATAGAATTCGACTGTCTGATCGCAACGGTGCAAACGAGTTTCAATTCAGAGAAAGTTGAACTAAAAAGTATAACCCGACTGGAATCAAAATTGGCCCCAATCAGGGACACTGTGCAAACGGTGCCTCCCAACGCACTCGCCGATCTCAGGATCGCAGAAACCACAATCAAGTTGTCATCTTCCCCTCATCAACTCCTATATAAGGAATACTCAAACCTTCAAATATTCACCAAAATTTATGAAATTAGTTCCATAAGAATCTTGAGAGTGGGGGGAGTAATCTGATAGTATTAGTTGTTGTCGAGGTCGCCGGAGCAAGCCGTGGTGATCACCGGAAGTTTCGTTGGAAAATTTCCAAAACCTTCGTTAAGCTTTGAGGTAAGCCCGTAGATATATCTAGTGACTAGAATGTTCATATAGATCGTTTTTACGTTCATAAACGTTCATTTGGTTGAGTTTTGTGTTTGACATGTTTGAAGAACCAAGAATCATAAAGCTCGAAATTGTTGTTAAAACTACAAACTAATGGTACCAAAATGATCTATGAACCTGGGAGAACCTTTCTATATATACTTTAATTGAAGTTTGGTGACTAAAAATGACATTTTCAAAAGTTGGCTCGAGGAAGAAGACGACGAATACTCGATTATTGCATGAAAAATCGATTATATTTTCATTCTGGTCAGGAAATCGAACTCAGAACGCAAAAATCGATTATTTTTACACAAAAATCGATTATTGAACATGAAAAATCGATTTTTACATTATTCCATTGAAGAAATTGAAGTTAGTAGAAATTAATCGATTTTCCTATCATATATTAATTGATTATTGTTTAGAAAACATGGTTTTTGAGCTATGAAATCTTATTTTTGACACCAATTGATTATGATCGTTATAAGGATGATTTTCCACCATGAAAATGATGCTTTTAACAAATAAAACCTTATGTGATGCATGATGGTAAGTTTGAGTATTATCACTCGAAACTAGACCGCTACTTGTTATTGGATGTTATGTTAATTGTTGACTAGGATGAATGATTATTATGGATGATTATGAATGATAAATCTACTGATTAAAATGATTAATAATGGTTGAACCATGATTAAAATGAATACATCAACAATCATGAAATGATTTATATTGTTAAGGATATTTGGAAGAACTCTAAGATATATCCATTTAGATAATTGATGTTAAGGCTATCGAGAATACCTCTAGAATAGATCTCATGTTATTATGGATTTATGAAACATGAGTATTCGGTGATTGGATAAAAATGTAATAACGGAATTCGTAGACCAAACTGGAGAATCACTTGTTGGAAATAATGTGGCTCAATGATGATTAATCACCGTATTGTTGTTTGCCTTAAACTAATTAATGGTTAAGCGTCGGAGAACTATTGCCTTAAACTAATAATTAAAGTTTAAGCGTTGGAGTGTTATTGCCTTAAACTAATTATGGTTTAAGCGTCGGAGAACTGTTGCCTTAAAGTAATTATAGTTTAGGCGTCTCAGGATTGTTTGCCTTAAACTAATTATAGTTTAAGCGTCTGATGATTGTTTGCCTTAAAATAATCATAGTTTAAGCGTCTAAGAATGAAATTATGATTTGGTCTTAAACTAAGAATAACTAAAAGCATTGTTATTATCGTTGGCCTTAGATTAAGAATAATTTAAGAGCACTGTCGAAATAATATTTGAATTGAATAAAATATGTTGATATGAACTGAACAATATGAAAACTGTGAATGTCTGAAATGAACATTGTGTGCATGATATCAAATGATTTGATTATGAATTTAGATTCAATTTATATGGATGTTCGACGCATTAGATATGCTTACTTAACTTTACCGTTGAGCGTGTAGTGTGTTTTAT